AAAAAAAAAAAAAAAAGTCCCAGTGAATTTACTTGTAAATGTATTTTTGTGACCCTTCTTCCTCCTTTACATTTTTATATTTTAATGATTCACTTTGCTAAAGAACATGAATTTGCTATGAATGAATGTATTTTTATTAGCAGCCTTCCTTCTCTTTTTATTTATTAAAGTGCTGCACAATTTAGTCAGTGAAACCAAGCTTTAGTCCAAATCAAGCCCATTGCTCTTAAAAAGGTAGGAAGGTGAAATAAACTAGAAGACACACAAAGCGTTCTTCTCTGCAAAATGTTTTAATTCCTTTAAAAACCCTGGGCTTTCCAGCACTCTTTATCCAGGTCCACCTAATAGCTCTGCTTTGTTCAAACAGCGGCTGTTTGGATAAGGGTTTTCTAACTCTGACAGCATTTTCATGAATAAGTCGCCCACACACAGGCTAATGCGTTCACCGCACCTCATTTACAAGTTCTATGAATAAATGAATAATTCCAGGTGCCAGTAATGTCTCATGGAGGTTCGGAGTCCGCAGCAGCGCAAGTGGACAATCAGATGAAACCCGAAGATTACCAGTCTCCTTTAATTGCCCCGTCCATGTTCTTTGCTGGAAAAACAGTCGGGGGAGCCATTAAGACATCACTGTTGACAGCTGATTGCCATCAGCAGTTTGCAACCTCCTCTAAATAGTCTTACAGTCACTCTTTAAGTGGTTTTTTACTCTTCTAGATTACCTCTCACTTTGCTAAATGACTCCCATGATAAGTGATAAGTGACATTTGCATCAGCCTAATGGCTGCTGCCCACTTGTGGTTTGTTTAAAGAAAACAGATGAAAGTAAATGTTGACAGATTCCCATTTAGATCTATAACAATAGGCCATACATGGAGTACAAGTTGGACGTTCATATTCTCCCCTCTGCAGCAGGGGGGTTATTTAATTGAGTCTATTAATTACTTAAACAGTGCTTTATGCTGACGTGGACTAATCAGTCACAAATCTGGAGAGTTTTTCCTAAAACATGATATTGTTTAACTAATTTGAATGAATTTTAGATTTTATTCCATAATTTACATTCTTTAGATGCCCATAAATAAACATACACCCTTACTGATAGGAAATATACTGCAGGAAAAACCATATGACTTTGCTACCAGCAAAAGGCATTTAATTCTGTCTGAACATTTGAATGTTTGTCACAGAATCACTGAAGCTCATTTAAACTGGTTGGTCACCTGCAGTAGATTATTGGTTTGGTTGATGGTTATCCCAGAAGGCTGATGTTAGTATTTGTTATCTATTTTGATGTTTGTTTGTTTGTTTTTTATTCATCCAGACTGTCCCCTAATGGTTCTCATGTTCAAAAAATTATTCTGATGAACTAGAGTATAAAACCAGTTAAATATTGGGATGCACTGAGAGGCTCCAAATAACACAGTTTAAGGTTTCAGTGAGATTTCACTGCATCCTAAGCTGACATGTTATGGTTGTTATGGTCAGAGAGACATTTTTAGCTCAGAAACAAAATATTCTCCATTTTCTTAAACTTCAGGTTCACCTACCCCTTACCAAAAAACAAAACAAGATCTTTGTAAACCAAAGATCCAGAACACACTTCAGAACTCATTCTTTAGAATGAAAGCAAATTTCAGCCTCCAGGCAGGGCATGTTTGTGTTGCACAGGATAGTATAAAGACAATTAAAAGCGCTTTACATGAAAGAAGCAGTAAAATGGAGGGAAGTAAAAGCAGGATTAATGCAAATAGAGATAGAAGAAAGATAAAAGCAGGTAATAAAATAAATTAAACAGTTGGACCACAAATTTTAACTGTTAACTGAGGGATCAGTTTTATAGTCAAAGATGGTTTTAAAGAGAGGCTTTTAACTTTAACTTAAAAGTCAAAATATACTTATGTCAAGTCTTTTCCTGGGAACCAACCAGTTAAAATAGGCTTCACCATTTGAGGTATATAAACTAATCCAGAAATCACAATGTAAGATGTTTTAACAATATATTTGTATGATACACCTGGAAATAAGTATTTGAAGATCCTGAGAAAATTGATGTTAATACTTGGTACAGTAGCCTTTGTTTGAAATTCCAAAGGTCAAACATTTCCTGTAGTTTTTCACAGGTTCGCACACACTGCAGGAGGGATTTTGGCCCACTCCTCCACACAGATCTTCTTTAGATCAGTCAGGTGGTCAGGTGTGTGGGTCACTGAGAATACACTGAGTTCATTGCCAATTGTGTGGAAGTATTTCGGGGTGTATTCTTGAGTATCGAAATTAATCAAATCGTTGGGTCAGGAAGTCGATACTGAATTGAATCGCCATGATGGGTGTGATTTACACCCCTAACCACTGCAGCCCTCTGATTAATTGCTAGCAATAGCCCATCTCTGTGTGGTGATGTCAGATGAGGAACACTTTTGGAGCTCCCCATTCTGTAATGGAGATGGATGATTGTTCACAGCATGTAGTCAGGAATTGGTTGTGTGGTTGAACCATCAGCCAGTTTATGCTCAGGAGAGGGTAGTGATACTGAGGAATATGGAGCATCAAACCTTACAGGTCAAAACTGTCTAGAGCGGACCTCTAGCCTACAGAGTCGGACTCTGAGCTGGAGGATGAACCAATTGACTCTTTCATTAGGGTAAAAATAAATAAACATCCATCTCAAAATGTTCCAAGCTCAGAAGAGACGCTGTGAAGTCCTCCAACTTTTCCGATCTCATCTGACCTTCACTTACTTTGAGAGCAGCTCAGGATCCTTAGGTAACTTCAATAAGCTGAAGCCGGCTGAAGCACAAAGCTGCAAAACAAGGCAAAACCATAACCCATGAAACTTCAGCAGCTCACATAACAAAACCACTATTCCAACTGTCAGTTGTTCTTCCGTATACATCTCTCCTATTTTCTCCCTCAGTCAATGAGTGGCACTATAGTCTTCCGAAGAGCAAAGGTTTATGTATTTAAACAATTATGTGGGTGCGCTTGAAATTGTTATATTCCTTATCAGTATTAACATTTTCGTCTCCAAGAAATACTAGAAAATAACAATATCGTGTCATCAACATTTTAAGTCTTCATATTTATTTTCTAATATGAATAAATACTTTTAGTGTATGTTAGAAGCCTTATGTAGAGTTGGTTGTTGATTTAGAAGAAAGCAGGATTTAAAATGGTGACTTCTTGGATCAAAATGTGTTTATCCCCGACTCAGATCAGCAGGTTTAGAGCATTATTTTATTTTTGTTTCATTTTAACAATTTGTTCATTCAGTTTGCCAAAACCTCGTGCCAAAAGAACCAAGGTAAGCAGAGTGGGTATTTGAGTGTTATTGGGCCGAACTTTTAGAGATGCAACAGCAGCACAAACGTGGAGCCTCTGCCGTGACCGACACAGCTGAATCAACACCTTTGTGAAGGAGTTTCAATAAGAGCTGTATTAGCCTTGGCTCTGATTCCAAGCTGTGAGAAAGCGACTGAAGTTTGTCCTTCAGAAAGATATTTCACTCGTTCCTTTTGTTGCTACACCAATATAAACTTCATAACAACACAATCCTCTTTTTTCCATCTGTCTGAATTTTCAGGATGAAAAGTTGGATGCCACCTCAAGGAGTCTGAGACTTGCTGCCTTTTCTTGTTCCATCAAAGACCCCAGCACTTTCCTGAGCAGCACTCTGAGGTCTGACTGTCTCTGTGAGTACTCATCCTTTGATCCAAGCCCTCTCTCTGGTTTTAATCTTTTCCTTTTTTAATCAGAATGTCTAACCCACATCTTCTACCTACACATTTAATTCTCCGTTTTTTTTTATTTTTATCGGACCTCAGAAGGACATTTATTCAGCCAAGCCAAGTGGAGCAGAGGCAGCAGCTGTGTTATGATGATTGAATGCAGCAGGTTTTTAGGGAATCTGTTTGAGAACTAGAAGGTTCTCTGCTGAAACTTCTGAAACATAGTTAACATGTAAATTTTAAGCTGGACACGATTTCCTTTTTCAAAATGAAACATTTGCAGATTTATCATAGAACTAATCTTTCTGTGGCTCATTGCTTTTTTTACAAACAGAAATCTGAACATTTTTTTATTCTAACATATGCAAAATGTTAACAGAGACCCCCATTTACCCTGAGCTATCATTACAGGCAGTATGACCATAATGTGTGTCATACTCTGTTTCATTCCACTTTTCTAACCGGTAAATGCTAGGAACAGTGCTAATTATAATCTACATGTTTGAACAAGTGAGGGTACAATGAGAGGTAGTTCTCTGAGAAGCAAAAAGGGGAAGAACTAATCACAAAACCCAGAGAAATATCTGTAGCAACACCAAACCTGGACTTCTATAATCTCTGAACCTTAGACAACCCTCCCAATCCCCAACCACTACGTTTTGTCCCTTTACCCCCATAAATCTTGATGTTTTGAATTGTTGCAGACCATCACATAGTACAATTGTAAGGTGGAAGCAAAGTGAGATTTGTTGTTTTTAAAGATTAGTTTGGTCAATTCAAATCTGATAACTGTATGTGCCCATTTGTCACGATAACCTCAGTGGTGGTGCTACAGTAGGAGGTGCTACAGCTACCCCAAGAAAATTTTCAATTAAAACTTGCTTTAATCAAAGTAAATATTCTTAACCATCTGGTTGTTGTGATATTTTCGTCACAAAACTAAACAGTTTCCAATTAAAATATGCATTATCCACCTTATTGTTGATTTTGGGAGTGGTGGCCTAGTGGTTAGGGCTTAGAGCTTGGAATCCTGAGGTTGTGAGTTCGAAACTCAGTCCCACAGACTGCCACTCTTGGTCTCTGAGCAAGACCCTTAACCTCCGATATCTCCCAGGCGCCCCACTATGGCGGCCCACTGCTCTTCAAGGGGCTGGGTTAAAAGCTGAGGCAAATTTCTCCAATGTGAGATCGATAAAGTTCAATTAATATTATTTTAAAAAATGTAGGAGCAAAGCGTAATTCATATTGCCCTCAGTTCAATGCTTAGCCCGCCTTTAGCACCTGCAGAGAAAAATCTCTGGAGCTGCCACTGGATAACCTGGAATAAATCCAGGGTTTGGTGAGCAGCAAACACCTGTTAGTATTCTGATCTCAGTAAAAAACCTGGCTGCAGCAGACATGCATATTAGTCATGTTGGTGTAGCAAACCTTTTAGATTCTCCCTAAAATGAAGCATGGTGGTGGCAGCACCATGCTGTGGAAATAGCTTTAAGCTATTTGGAGTTAAATTTACATGAAGCTTAAAATGAGACAAATCCTAGAGGAAAGGCTGTTAAAAGCAGAAAAAGGTTTGAGGTCCACCTTTGCAGAAGGAGATCCTGAACATAAAGCTGCAGGATTGGGCCTAGACATGAATCCATTTGAGCATTTGGCAAAACTTTTGAAAATGTACATGCACAACCCTGTACTCGCTCATGAGAGGGAACGCCTATTAAACGCATGTGAGAGCGTGCACGAACCCATCTTTCCTCGTGTACGCTCTGTTTAAAAATTATGTTTGCATCACTCATACAAGCTTACTTTCCAAAAGAAGATTTGCAATTTTTCCACTATGTCAGACGTAAGCATATCACCAGAATGATTGACAATTAGGACGACCACTTATTTAGATGATCCACCTAGCTATACCTTTCAGTCTGAGCTGGATCTGTTGTGCATTCTCTGTGTGTGTTAAGCAGGTAGAGACAATGGACCTGCATTGTCTGCAAAGTATTGCTTTATATTCATAACACATATCACAGATTAATATTAGTTATTTACCTCCTCAATGGCCTACTCTCTGTGGCTCTATTACCTTCAGAACTTTGTGGTTTTAGAGTAACAAAATATAGAAAGTAGGTCAACAGGTATGAAAACTTAAACAAGACCTTTATGAAATATTGTAAATATATATGGAGTAGTTACGACCACACCAACCCAGACCAAATAGTACAGCGTTTCTTGTACCAAAGACTTGTCTTGTTGTCCTCTAAAGGTCTTGGCCTCGTCTCCTTGCTTTCGGTTGGTGTGCCTATAACTACAACACTAATGTATAGAATTGATTGTTTTATGTTTGGCTCCTTGTTTTCTTCCTGCCACAGCCCCCCCCAGACGTCTGACCACTACAGACCTGGATGACTCCACAGACGAGGGGTCTCGACTGCTCATGCATTAGTTGAGTGTTGATAAAACCCTCCATGCGGACCTTTACAAACCTCGACACTCGGCGTCTCTTCCAGCCTGGTGCTCACCCACAACAAGCGTGGCTGTAGCAGGAGCCCTGGGTTCAACACTAATCCTCTTCAAGTAGCTCAGGAACATCCTCACTGATGGTGCTCGAGAGAAGAGGGGTCAGAGAGATTTCATAAACACGCTGAAGGAGGAACTGCTGGTCTGTTCACTCTGAGGGGAACAACTGTGAAGACTTTTACCTAGAAGCGCCTGTGTTTAATATATTTATCAAGATTTAATCTAAAATTGTTTTATTTTTTACATATGATCCGTCCAGAAGCTGTTTAAAAAATGCCACTTCTATGATAATGCCAATGTCTATGTGCGAAAGATGTTATATTGACTAGCAAAACACTGGTGCCTTTAAACAAACTACTTTTTTTTACTAACCTGTAACGTTTCTATCATGAGCTGTCTTATCACTTTTTAGCAATGCAGTATATATTTGTATGGAAAACATTAAGAAAAGGTTTATTTTTATGAATTGTTCCAAAAGTAAACTGGAAATAAATGAATGTTAAGAAACCAATCTCTTATTCCTTTATTTTAATATGAAGAACTCCTCATTGTGAACAGATGCACGTCGTCTAATGTCAATAGAATAACAAACGCTAATATCAGCCAAATATGTGGGCCTGCTGATGTCAGTCTACCTCTACTTCATTCCTGTGTTTGAGACCGAAGAAAGCAAGTGAGTATAGTTAGATTTTATCATTTCTAGATTTATAGCATTTAACTTCTTTCTTAATATTACTAAAGGGAAAATGTTATTACTGTTAAAAACTATGTAATCTCAGATCCCATTTTTCAGTGTATGTTTGTTTCCACCAGCTTGCAGAGAATGCAGTATGGAAATAAGAATGTAAAATACATTTAATGCTTTTCCTCAAACTCTAGATTTTCTGTAGAACTTCATGTGGAGCTTTCATCTTCCATCTTACCTTGTCAAACAATAACACACTTCTTCAACCTTTTTCCTTGAATGAGTTTAAGATTTTATTTATTGCATCCACAAGGACTGAAAAGGACAGACTAGCTGGAAAACGAAGTCTTTCATGGTGGGTCAAAGGCCAATGAAAAGGAAAGGTTTTCCAGAGAAAGTCAAAGGGTTGCATTCTGCACCAGCTAAGCATGCCTGTAAGACACCATAACATAGGGAGTAATCAGTGTTTTAGGTGATAAATGCATTAATTACTGTTTCTATTTTAAAGGAGGATGTTTCCCTTTAGCCAGCTATCTCAGTTGAATAAAAAGTGGATTGATCTGCCTTGCAAAATTAAAAGTTTTTCCCCCCAAGGTTAGTGGGATTCATGTTCTGGGGCCGTCAGCTAAGATTGGTCCACCCTACGACAAAAAGAAAACAAACTTGCAATAAAATTAAAAAAGTTAATTCTATAGAGCAGCGGTCCCCAACCTTTTTTGCACCACGGACCGCTATAACTCAGACAATATTTTCACGGACCGGCCGGGGGGGAGGAAGGAATACGATCAAGTAAAATGATACGACTGGCATAAAATCAAATACAAACAGCATAAAAATAAAACAGCAAGCCTGTCCCATCTAGGTGTAATCGGAGAAAATGACAGACGAAGTGTGCTCCTGATGTCCAGTCTGCTCCGTAGCTTTGTTTTGGTCGCTGTAACCGCAGAAAATCCCGCTTCACAAAGATAGGATGAGTCTTGAACTTAATTAACCTGTGTCTAGAGGCACAGATGCATCGACTGATGTAATTGGGAGAGAATTCTGCAATTTTTTATATTTTTCAAAATAAAACATCACTCAGACTCTGATCATCGATAAATTATATATATGTATGTATAAATACTTTTTTCTGTGCGGCCCGGTACCGGTCTGCGGCCCGGTGGTTGGGGACCGCTGCTATAGAGCACTCCAACAACTGCATTGAATAGAGAAAATCTTGTTTAAGGGGAAAATAAACCTGGCAACCATCAGCATAAATATAAGGCACATCTGTTTGCCGTAGTTCAAACTGGAAGAAATCTTCTCACCCTCTGGTAAAAAATAAAATAAACCAGAAGCTTTATGTGTGTGGATGGTTGGGTATCACTCTATCAGTCCAAACTCGGGGCTCTCTTTTTCATATTTGGTGTGTCCAGAAGCCTGTTTGCTGTGTATCTAAATTACCTTGAAGCAAATAGGATTTCAATGTTTTTTTTCTTACCACTGTCCTATGAAGGTCAGATTTGTGCAGAGCACAGCTGATAGTTTCGCTGTCAGCAGATTCTCCCGTGTGTCATAAGGATCTCTGCAGCTCCTCCAGCATAGCTGTAGCATCTTGGCTGCTTCTCAGGTTAATTAACTCTTTGCTCTTTACCCTTTGCTGTGTTGCTTGGTCATGATGCTGTTTGTTCTCTAATGCTCACCAACCAGAACCCTCACAGAACAGCAGGATTTGTGTTGAGATTAAGCTCATAAAGCAATTTGTTGCTCTGGATTGTGGTGTTTTGTGGTTCCCTTGGCTATGAAATCTCAATAAGATGCATTTAAATGTGTGGTTGTAATGTGAGAAAGTTAAAAGTTTGTCCATTTTAAACTTTTCAGTTTGGGGGCTAAAGCCCTTACAGTACCTGATGGTATTTTATTTGCTTTAGTGTATTAACTTTAATCTGTTGAGGAGGGAAAAAACAAATTTACCATGTCTTAAGAGAGATAGCTTCATGAAGCTTTAAAGGGACCGGGGCTTTGTGTTCTCTTGTTTGAAGCTGCTGCAGGTGTCTTTTGAGCCAGACAATATAATATTCAGAGAATGAGAGAAAAAAAAAATTAACAACAGCTAAGTGGTTGCTTCTGAAAGTCAAAGCTTATGAAAGCTTTGGCATTTTGCAGTTCTAAAGCCCTCTTATCTAAACATTTTCTAAATGGAAATGTCTCATTTTTTAAAGGACTTAATAACAAAGAGGAAACAAATTGCTGCACAGGCTGTGCAATTATGGGGCCATGTTATGTGTCCTCGCTTTATGAGGCAAAGTCAGCCAAGTCTGAAGCTGCAAAGCTAGCATTTAAACTTCCACTTCATGTTTTCTCCCCTAACCTTCTGACTGAACACCAAACATAGAGGTCCAGTGGAAAATCAGAATCGCTGTTAGGGTATGCGTCCCTGCGTCAGTCTTCTGAACCCTGAAGGTTTCTAACATTCTGCTAAATTACAGCAACAAAGGACAATACAATGAAGCAAGAACAACATAACTGTAAAAACAAAGACAATAGAAAAACAACCAGAGAGCGCAAACCTCAGACAAGCAGCAGGTTTTACTGTGTATTGTGACGTAGGTCAGTTTGTACATTTTTTAGCGTGCGCAGTGAAATAGCTCACGTTTTTATACACGCAAACCTTTGATAGATCCAGCCCTTAGTGTGAGGGATTGTCTTAAAGTCGATGAGTTGATGCAATCAACTAGTTTTCCTTAGATAGGAAACTTTGACCCAATCTGACTGTATGATCTGGTTGAATTGTAAAGAGCCTTGAAATGTTGAATTTGTTGTGAATTGAATTGATATACATTCCACACTTTTCAGATTAAACCAAAAAAGTTTGCTTCTTCAGACTCACCCGTCTGTTAGTTCTTTCCCAAAGAAGTGAGAAACTCAAGCAATGAAGAGTACCTCCTCGTAGAACTCATATTTTGATGTTGTTCCAAGCACAAAAAAAGAAAATCTGGCTGAGTCACTCATGCACAGAAGCAAGTAATCAAACTTCTTTCTGTGACGCATCTCTTGGTGACACAGTAAGTAGATCCCTTGGAAAGCAGGCTTACTTTGTAAAACACGTGTAAACTCCAGGATCAGCTCTGCGGCTCCCAGCAGACTGTTCTCTGCATTTATATTCTGCCCCACCATTAGTCTAACTTTACTCCACTTTATCCGGGTAAGACTGATGAATAAATTGTCTGCCTCACCTATGTTTGTGTTTGTGTTTCTCAGCAGAGGAAGATCCACCGTCTACATAAAAACAACAACTAAGGAGAGTTTGTCCTCCGACCTGAACACAAATCTGTCAAAATGGATTGCTTCATGATGGTCGAAGTAATTCAGCACTTAGACTTATTCATGAGCTCACAATCATTTTCTCCCCACGCACACACAACCATCCATTTATCCATGCATATTCTATACCAGCCACAAGCTTATATGCAAATATATTTAGCAATCAGGATCTAAGCTGCGTCGGGACTGTTCAGGGGATGCTGATCAAAACAAACAAGCAAAGAAACTCCAACTCTACCAGAACATGTGAAGACACTTTCAGCCTTTTCCTGACCTGCATGATTCATGTCCTGCAGCTTCTCCCCCCCATGCTCCCTTCCAGCTCATATCCGTAGCTAATTAGGACACAGACAACCCCTCGCCCTGCACTGACATCAGGTCTGACCTCCCCAATCTGTTCTACACCCTGTGCGACAACAGCGATTAGCTGTGATCAGTGTGAGCCAATTTCTGCCACTTTGTGCACACTTTGCTTGTCAAGGTTTTTTTATTTGGGTAGAATTTCTTCCCTGTCTGCTAAAGAGAATGATCCCACAGCATCACACCACTGCAGCAGCGTCAAACAGTGTTCTGGACAGGCCTGAAAGAACATCATAAATTAAAAAATATGTTTTTTTTTACTGTAGAAACGATTAACTTGGAAAACTGCGGCCATAGAGGAAGGCAAGGGTAAGAAATCAAGGTGGAACTAAAGAATGAAGGACTAACCAGATTACTGTAACTTCTGTTCAAACACATGGGGTTTGTGATGTCAGTGACTGGACAAAGTTGGCTCTAATTTGACAAATTGCATAGTTAAAAATTTTGTTTTTCGTTTTCTCTCTGCTTTTGTCTAATTGCATTAGTAGTACTGTTTGACTTTAACAAAAGAGGAAACAACTCATCATTAAGAGGACGTCTGAATGAACCAGTGAAAGAATAATCTTCACCAAAAGTCTTTTTCCATCAAGTGACTCAGGATCCAAAGTTGCAACATCACATCATCCTCTTCATCGCAGACCTCTCCTTCCAGCAAATATTCACAGGTTTAAGGCTCACTGAGTACCATCCCACTAAAACGACCATTAGTAAACACAGCGACTCCTTAGTGTTGCTTCTGCAGCTCGCAGGCAATCAGGACACGATGGGGTGGTTGCCATTTCTGTTTACTGCTGTTCTAATGCCGGTGTAAGCCTCTGCAGCAGTCACCTCCACTGATTCCCATTAGAACAAATCTATTTGGCTTGCATTACAAACCCATTCAATCAGACAAGCCGGGCTCTGCTCTTTCATTTAAGCCAGAAGGGCTGAGTGTGTATCCAGCCGCTGTCTTTTCAATAAGCGAATGGGTTATTGCGGCTGAGTCTCGACATCAGGCTCATTTTCTCCTGAGCCTAAAGAGAATATGTTTCTGCTCAATTGTTTGCTATCAATTTGTATTTATATACCATTGTTGAAATAGAATAATGCAGGGGCTGTTTTTTTTTTTTTTTGTGAACTGAAATATGTAAATGTC